CCAGCTATTTTTGTTGTTGTTGGAGTTGTCATTGTTGTTTAGCAGGTCCAGGCCATATTCAAACCCACCAGCCTTGGTGTATATGGCCAGCGCCCTAACCACTGAGGTACAGGTGTCGAGCATCAAATAATATTGTTTATGATTTAAGTACCCTCAGATTGGATACAAATCAAATTTTTAATGACTTAGAGATACGTTTACAATACAATAACTCCCTCCTTATTATCTTCCAGAGACTTGCTACCATACTTAGTATAAAATCTGCAGTCTTCCTCATGGCTCATGGCTCAGAGTCTGTCCTCTGTCCTCACCCTTTGCTCACAATACCCAGCACCTCTGGCCTCCTTTCATTGCCCCAAGTATGCTGGGCTCAGCCACCCTGTAGCCTCTGCACTTCTTCCCCAACCCCTAAATGGATCATTTCATCTTGCCTTTTGTGTCTGAGCTCAAATATCATTTCGCATTCAACTTTCTACATACCTACCTGTTTTATTTCCTTCTAAGTATGGACCATAACTGGAAATTACCTTGGTTATTTGTAGATTGTCTCCCCATCATCCCCCTGTTAGAAAATGAACCCCAGTGGCTCCGTGCCTGTAGCTCAGCAGTTAGGGCGCAAGCCACATACACTGGAGCTGGCAGGTTTGAACCCAGCCCGAGCCTGTCAAACAACAATGACAACTACAAAAAAATAGCCAGGCACTGTGGTAGGCCCCTATAGTTCCAGCTACTTGGGAAGCTGAGGCAAGAGCATCGCTTAAGCCCAATGATTTGAGGTTACTGTGAGCTGTGACTCTACCAAAGGTGACATAGTGACACTCTGTCTAAAAAAAAAGAAAATGAACCCAAGGATGGCAGCCTTGGTTAAGAGTGCAGCTCTAGCAACTGCAACAATGCACATGAGTAGGGAATTCAGTGTTCACTGAAAGATGACTCAAGGTCAGGTGCAGTGGCTCATTCCTATTATACCAGTACTTTCAGAAGCTGCAGAGGGAGGACCACATAGGCCAGGACCTTAAGACTAGCCCAGGCAACATAGCAAGACCCTGTCTCTACAAAAAATTGAAAAATTTGCTGGGGGCAGTGCCTATGGCTCAAGGAGTAGGGCACCAGCCCCATATACCAGAGATGGTGGGTTCAAACCCGGCCCCAGCCAAAAACTGAAAAAAAAAAAAAAAAGAACAATTAGCAACTCAAGAGGCCAAGGCAGAAGAATCACTTGAACCCAGAAGTTTGCAGTGAGCTATGATGACAACATTGCACTCTAGCCCAAGCAACAGAGTGAGATCCTATCTCAAAAAAAGGAAAAAATGAGCTAAGAATCTGAATAAACATTTTTCAAAAGAATATATAGTTAAGCATAGAATTACCATGTTATCCAACAATTCCATTACCATGTACATACCAAAAGAATTGAAAACAAACACCTTGTTTGCAAATATTTACAGCAGTGCTGACTTTGGCAGCATATATCCTAAAATTAGAAGAATATGGCTCAGAGTCCATAGCACAGTGGTTATGGCACCAGCCACATACACGAGGCTGGTGAATTCAAACCCAGCCTGGGCCTGCTAAACAACAATGACAACTACAACAAAAAAATAGCCAGGCATTGTGGTAGGTGCCTGTAGTCTCAGCTACTTGGGAGGCTGAGGCAAGAGAATCACTTAAGCCCAGGAACTTGAAGTTGCTGTGAACTATGATGCCAAGCACTCTACCAAGAGTGACATAGTAAGACCCTGCCTCAAAAATAAACTAATTAATTACTTGATTGAATTAGAGGAATAAAGGGATTAGCATGGCCCCTGTGTAAAAAAGACATACATATTCATGAAGCATTCCACATTTTTAAGGAAGGGCATATACAACCATAGTGTTGCGTAACAAACATTAAAAATTAAGGAGGGAGGGTATGAGGGAGGTGACAGATAAAAATCCATCAGGTACAATATATACTATTCTGGTGACAGATACACTAAAAGCCCTGACTTCAGCATTACACAACACATCCATGTAACAAAAAAATACCTGTAGCCCCCTAAATCTATTTTTTAAAAGACAGTATAAAAAGAGAAAAGAATAATATTCGCAATAGCCAAAAGATGGAAACAGCCCAAATGTACATTAACGAAAGATCAAACAAAATATGGCATATACATACAATTCAGCCATTAAAAAAAAGAGTTCTGATATTTGATACAACATGAATCTTAAAAACATTATATTATGCTTTTTGAAAAAAGGTAGAAGCAAAAGAATATTGTTATGATTCTACTTATATGAAATATCCAGATTAGGTAAATATGGAGACGCTAAATAGAACTTACCAAAGGCTAGAGGGAGGGGCAATTGAGAGTTATTGCTTAATGGATACAAAGTTACTATTTAGAATGATGAAAAAATTTGGAAATAGATAGTGGTAATGCTTGCACAGTATTATAAATGTACTTACTGCCACTTAACTGTATACTTAAAAATGGGTAAAATGGCAAATCTCATTTTATATAAATTTTACCACAAACTTTAAAAAGTCAACATTAAGGACAGGTGTGGTGGCTCATGCTTATAATCCTAGCACTTTGGGAGGTGAAAGCAGGAGGAATGTTTGAGGAGAGGAGTTTGAGACCAGCCTGAGCCAGTCTCTACAAAAAATAGAAAAATTAAACAGGCATAGTGGCGGGCACTTGTAGTACCAACAACTTGGGAGGATGAGGCAGGAAGATCGCTATGATGACACCACTGTACTCTAGCCTGGGTGACAAAGGTAGATCTTGTCTCAGAAAAAAAAAAGCTTCTGGCAGCAACCATAGCTCAGTAGGTAGGGTGTCAGCCACAATGCACCAGGGCTGGTAGGTTCAAACCCAGCCTGGGCCTACTAAAAAAAATAGCCGGGCATTGTGGCAGACACCTATAGTCCCAGCTACTCGGGAGACTGAGCCAAGAGAATCGCTTCAGCCCAGGAATTGGAGGTTGCTGTAAGCTATGACACCAGGGCACTCTACCCATGGCAACGAAGTGAGACTGTGTCTCCAAAAATATACATATAAAAAATATTAAAAGAAATAAAAAGGGTGGCACCTGTGGCTCAGTGAGCAGGGCACCAGCCCCATATACTGAGGGTGGTGGGTTCAAACCTGGCCCCAGCCAAACTGCAACAAGAAAATAGCCAGGTGTTGCAGCAGGGGACTGTAGTCCCAGCTACTCAGGAGGCTGAGGCAAGAGAATCGCCTAAGCCCAAGAACTGGAGGTTGCTGTGAGCTGTGATGCCATGGCACTCTACCAAGGGTGACAAAGTAAGACTCTGTCTCTTAAAAAAAAAAAAAAGGCAGCTTGGTGCCCATAGCTCAGTGGTTAGGGTACCGGCTACATACACCAAGGCTGGTGTGTTCAAACCTAGCCCAAGTCTGCTAAACAACAACAAAAAAATTGCCTGGCCTTGTTGCCAGCGCCTATAGTCCCCAGCTACTTGGGAGGCTGAGACAAGAGAATTTTTGAGCCCAAGAGTCTGAGGTAGGTTGCTGTGAGCTATGACACCATGACACTCTATATAGGATAACAAAAGTGAGACTCTGCACAAAAAAAAAAAAAAAGAAAAAAGAGAGAGATGGGGGTCTCACTCTGGCTCAGGCTGGTCTTGAACTCATGAGTTCAAGCAATCCACCCATCTCTGCTTCCCAGAGTGCTAGGATTACAGACGTGACCCACCTCGACTGGCCTGTGTTTTCTCACTTGTAAAGGTGATAAACACATTTCACCCTTTCTCACCATTTCTGTCTGCCACTTACCTAAGCCTATAAGCCCATCTTAAAAATATGATTTACATGAGTAAAAATAAGCTTCAAATATTTACTGCTAAATTTAAAGTTGTATAGTAGATATTGCTATATTATTCTTCTGTATTTTTTTGGTTTTTTTTCATGACATCAAAGTTGGACATGAAACAAAACAAAAAGGGTGACAAGTGACAAGGTGCAAAATGGTACACTGGTCATTAACTTCTTTATAATTAATATTTTCTATTTCATTAATCACAAGTTCACAATTTTTTGTTTTTTGAGACGGAGCCTCAAGCTATCCCCCTGGGTAGAGTGCCATGGCATCACACTCACAGCAACCTCCAACTCCTGGGCTCAAGCGAGTCTCCTGCCTTCGCCTCCCAAGTAGCTGGGACCACAGGTGCCCGCCACAACGCCCGGCCATTTTTTGGTTGCAGCCATTATTGTTGTTTGGTGGGCCCGGGTTGGGGATTCGAACCCGCCACCTTAGGTGTATGTGGCTGGTGCCTTAGCCGCTTGAGCCACAGGTGCCGAGCCACAATTTTTTTTTTTAATGAAGAGGTTATTTTAATGTAGGAGGAAAGAAAAATGCTATTTCAAGCATATCATATTGGAACCAGGTGTCAGAAAGGATCAACATATTTAAATTGCAAGGCTGGCTACTTGAGACAAAAACAAATAACAGGTAATCAACAAATGCCCTACCCTATTCTTAACCTCAGTGTGCTGAAGGTATGGCAAACTGCAGCAGGGGCTAACAAGAAAATGGATTAGCACCAGGAGTTAACTGGTGATTATATTATAATGTTGTATGTTTGTATAAATCTACATTATTTTAGGGAGAGGGTCCACAGCTCCCTTTGGATCCTCAGTTAGACAGCACATTAGATATGCCCAATTAAAATTTGTTAAAACAATAAATGAAGGGAATCCACGGCAGGTAAGAGCCAGTGCACTATCCAACACTGCCTCAATGGTTTTACGTTTCATCACCTTTAATCTCCAGAATCATTCCAACAGTATCTTAAGCTTCTGCCACAAGAACTTTCTGTGATTGTTTTTCTGAACAAAATATTACCCTATATAACAACAAAGGGTCTTACCAAGATTAGAGAATCCATCCTGCAGAGACCATAATCGACCCCAAGGGGCAGGAGCAGGGTCCTCAGGCTCTGGGTCCTCAGGAATAGAATAAAGTTCCTGAGTGGACACTGTCTCTAAGGAGCTCAATGTCCCAGAGCTGGAGTGAGAGGACTGGCTGGAGGTAGGTATCGTGTTGGTGGAGGAGCTAGATGAACCCTGGTACTGTGAGGAGGTACCCTGGGACTGGGTGAAGCCACCTTGGGACTGGGTGAAGCCACCTTGGGACTGCGAACAGACTCCGACTCTGTGGGACTGCGAGGAGGCACTGCTGTGGGACTGCTGACCCTCCACGTCTCTCTCCCGAGACATAACGACCTCAAAAAAGAAGTGTTTGACATAGGGTGAGTTTCAAGGAACAAGCGTTAAAGTTCACAATTAAAGGACAGGCATATTACAAGAGCATAAATAAATAAGAATCCAGGGCAAGCATGCTCTGCAAAAATTAAAATCCTAACAATCCAGACCTCATTCTTCTAGGAATAGCTTTTCTTCAGACTATTATCACCAGATCAGATTTCTGTCTGATAGCCATAAACCACAGGGAAAAAGACAACCAAAAAAAGCACCTATAATCCTAGCACTCTAAGAGGCTGAGACAAGAGAATCACTTAAGCTCAGCAGATTGAGAAAAGTGTAAACAAGAGCTAAACTCTGTTTCTACTAAGACTAGAAAAGATTAGCCAGGCATCATGGTGGGCACCTGCAGTCTCAGCTACTCAGAAAGCCAAGGCAAGAGGATCACTTGAAGCCAGGAGTTTGAGGTTGCTGTAAGCTAGGTTGAGGCCAGGGATAGAATGCCTGAGCAACAGACTGCGACTCTGTCTAACAAAAAAAAAAAAAAAA